CATCCTGCGCCCAACCAACTTTGTCAAGCCACTTAAGCAGCCCTTCCGCACGAGCCCCATTAGGATGCTGCAGCAGGCCGACTGCGATATCCACCATGCCGGGCCGGTCGTTGACCGCGTAAAAGACGCTGGCCGAGCACTTTGAGCAGAAGTATCGCTGGACGTCGCGAGAGCTCTCATACATCGCCAGAGTACCCAGGCGTGGGTCCTTGTCCTTAGCCGTGACCGCATCCCTCAAATAGCTGACGTTCCTGGGAAACTTGGCCGCGTCTGGTGGGTTGTCTCCGCCAAATTCAATGTGTGATAGGGGAGCAAAGGTCCACGCCATCAAGTCCGCTCCAAAGCTGAGTCGGCAAGAGTCGCAGCATTCGAGACTTCCGCGGTACTTCAGCGTTTCTTTGTCGACGAACCAAGTGTCAAGGTCCTCTTCCGGGAAGTCTCCGAGATCAGCGCCGCTTTTAAGCTTGAGGTCGATACCGCCACAGTGGCATCTGAACGGCGTGATGTCGGGAGTCGGGCCAGCTTTGAGAGTCTCAGATGGCAAGGCTTTGGCGCCGGGCCAGTCTAGCGGCAACTCTTCACTCTTCCCGGCGCCTTCTCTCCACCGCTTGACCGGCGCGCCGTCCGCGTACCGGGGCAACCAGACCGAAGCTCCTCCATCGATGGTGTCTCCGACGTGCATGTGGCTGGCGTACTGAACCAAGTCCTCGGCGTTCTCAAGCGCGCCAGTAACCACCCAAGGAACGTCTCCAACGGCGGGGCCGAGACAGAACATTTGTGCCGAACAAGTTCCGCAGGAGTAAAGGTCGATGCTCTCAGAGTAAGAGTACTTCTTGAGATCGGCCAGGTGCTCAGAAGGCGATGGCCACTTGACACACGCGGTGTACAGCGCGCCCGAAACGTGTCGACATGAGTTGCAGTGACAGCATGAGGCCTTCAGAGGCAGGTTGGACCTGTAAGTCTGAGCCTTGAAGGTGTGTGCCTTGCATAGGCATTGAGCCGTAATTACGACTCTATCGCGGATGTAGGGGCGAACATAGCCTTCACCGCTCATTTTGAAGTGAAGTGATACGGTGGAAGTGACGCAGGAATTCAAAGTCGTTGAAGTTTGTTGAAGGGTCAACTTGTGAATGTCGAATTGGTGATACGCGGGGTTTTAAGTAATAGAAGGGCGCGAATGACAATCCTGGCATTTTCGCCCGCTACGTCACTGGCGCGGCTCCCTGCAGCGTGTTATCGTGTTACCCCAACTACAGTGCCGCTTGGCGAAAAGCTGACCACGATAGGCGATGGACTCGTAATACGGCATGACATTATGCCTCTGGATGTTTATAACCAGAGGTGCTCTGAATTTGGGGTACTGCAGGTGAAATGTTAAATGTGACTGCTGTAAGCACTAATTGTAGGCAAACAAGTCGCTATCCGATGTTGATGCTGCCTGGATAGGCTGCGACTTTTCCAGTGTTTGCCAAAGCTTGGAAAGCCACAAGTTTGCAACCCTCAAAATGGTGATGGCTGCATGGCTGTGTAACGCCGAGGATGATATTGCGCGTTTCTGCGTAACACTGGCTGCCCATCCAAGAGGCGAAACCGGCGACTGCTGGGCCAAATGAAGCGGACTGTGGAACAGGCGGGATCTAGAACTTTGAGAGTGGGGGGCTCTTGTCCCCCCGAGAAGCATCCGGATTTGACTACAACCCTCCTCTTGAAGCATTTCTGCCTATGAGTTTTAAGAGTAGACAGTTGCCTCATTGCCTTGCGGAGGTTGACCCTTGTGAGAAATTCGCCAGGGACCATGGTGCATCGAGGTATCGCAGCAGCCACACATGTCCTCAACCGCAACTCCAAACTAACTTTAGGGAAGTCACATGAAAACGGAAGTCTTTTTCCAATGACTACAATACCCATTTAAGGGGTTCCAATGGTCTGTTCATGGCGCTTGCTGGGTTTGAAGCACTAGTGCAATCTGTACAATTATGCAGGGTTAGGGTCAAGATTATGCACACTCACCACCAGCAACCCGTTAGTCATCCACGACTGAATCGGCGCCAACACGCGTTGACGCCAATGACGGTGACCGCAAGATGCTCAAAGTGGGTCGCCCTGAACTTCCGACAGTCCTCGTTACACCTTCCAACCTCCAAGCGACAACTTTCTTCTTCTTCCCCCGGTACTGCTGAAGAGGCCCAGCACCAGTCCGGCAGAGTTCCATTCTGCGGCTGCCCCAGATCGTTACATCTCCAGTTCCAGTATCCAGTAATATCCGGCCCTCGTTGGCTGCCTGACTGGGCGGAATGAACGATCACAACGTCGCAGTGAAGCGGATCTCGGAGATCGTCAAGGACTTCCACTCGCGCCGGGAGCCCTTCCGCATCTTCCACGGCTCCACCAGCAGCACCCGTCCCGCCCACGGCCAGCGCGTCGTCGACATCAGCGAGCTGCGCCATGTGCTGCACATCGACACCGCGGCCGCCGTCGCCATCGTCGAGCCCAACGTCGCCATGGACCAGCTCGTCGCCGCGACCTACCGCGCCGGCATGGTCCCGCCCGTGGTGATGGAGTTCCCCGGTATCACCGTCGGCGGCGGGTTTGCCGGGTCCGCCGGCGAGAGCAGCTCGTTTCGGTACGGTTACTTTGATGAAACGGTGCTGGCGGTGGAAATCATCCTGGCCACCGGCGAGGTCGTCAATGCGTCAAAGACGGAAAATGCGGATCTGTTCAAGGGTGCGGCCGGGGGGCTGGGGACGCTCGGCATCGTCACGAAACTGGAGCTGCGGCTGCTGCCGGCGAAGAAGTTTGTCAAGGTCACTTATCACCCGTATTCGAGGATCCCGGATGCGATAGCTGCGATCCAACGGGAGACAAATTTGGCTCACAACGACTATGTTGAGGGATTGGTGTTTTCGAGAACCAGCGCGGCGGTGGTAACTGGCCAACTCACAGACGACTTGCCAGTAAAACACAAGCCACAAACTTTCAGCAAAGCTAAGGACCCGTGGTTCTATCTGCATGCGCGAAAACGCATTACAAATGCAGTACCAACTCCGGATTATGTGCCGCTGCAGGACTATCTCTTCCGGTATGATCGCGGCGCATTCTGGATGGGGGAGCTAGCGTTCAAGTACTTTGGCTTCGTCCCTTTCAACCGCATAACACGGCGGGTGATGAACCGCCTCATGGATACCCGGACATTATACAAAGCAGGCCTCGGTGGTGGCAGTCGAATGACTTTCCAGTATCTGGTGCACGATTTGTCATTACCATACTCAACAGTCCAAAATTTCATCGACTACGTTGCAGACAACATGGAAATTTGGCCCCTCTGGCTGTGTCCTCTGCGTGCCATTGAGGCCCCCAGTTTTCACCCTTACACGACGGAGCCGGGTGGGGAGGCACCCCAGCCGATGCTTAACGTGGGAGTCTGGGGCCATTCGTCAAAGAAGATTGACCGTTTTATGCGGCAAAACCGAGATCTGGAGGCAAAACTCATGGAGTTGGGCGGGCGCAAGGTGTTGTACTCACATGCTTACTACACGGAAAAGGAGTTCTGGGACATGTACGACAAGGACTGGTACACGAGACTCCGGGAGCGGTATAGTGCGACGAGTTTACCGGATGTTTATGACAAGGTTGTGGTTGACGTTACCAAGGAGAAGGAAAGGAAGTCTATTCGGGACAAGGTAGCGGTCACCTGGCCGTTTGCAGGTCTCATTGGAGTTTGGTCGGCTATTCGAAAGTAATGGGATCTCATCGATGTATGAACGACAAGTCTTGCGTTGTTGTTTTGCTGGAAGGATTATCATGAAGACTGTAGAATGGTTGAGGCTTGTTCCGATAGTACGAGCGGTTGCTTTTGATGATCCATCGGCCTTCTGCGTTCTTTTGGGCCTTCTTATAGACAGCATGAAGGGTTTGAGCCCAAGATGTATGATAGTATTGGCTTCTGCCCATGGCATTTCACACGAATGATTCTCACTGAAATTTTATAGACGGCGATATGTTGCGATGGCCTGTCACATTGCATCTTGTGCCGAGATATGGATGGACTAATTATTCTTTCTACTGGTTAAGAAAAGTTGAAAGTCTACCGTGTGTGCCTGTGGGAGCTTCATATTGGAACTGATAAGACACCTTTAGTACACGCTTAAGCAGGAATAGAGGATCCATCATCCTTGCTCGCCTCTGGTGCAGCCGGCTTCTGCCTGATGTCTCTCCAACCCATCCCGAAGGCAGCCAGAAAAGCAAGGACACCGACTGCCGCAACCAAAAAAAACACATGATTAATGGCGTTTGCATACGCCACCAGGACAGCTGGGAGATCTTCAGCAGACACGAGCTTGCGGAACTCCGTAGCCCCAGCCGCAACAATAGCCTCTACATCCGCATTGGGTGCGTGCTTGGGAATTTCAGAGCGCAGGCTGGAGGTAAAGAGAGTGTTGTAAGCAACGATGAAGATCGTCGGGCCAACATACTGCGCCCAGACGAGGAGGGATGTTGCCTCAGCGAGATGCTCCGGCTTGGTGTCATTTTGGATGGCAATCAGCGGCTAACCCGTTAGCACATGGTGCGAGGGTCGTCTAGAACATCTAAGTTGGCTTACCATTTGAAAGCCAAAGCCTTGTCCGACTCCGGCCAGGATCTGGTATCCAATCCATTTCCCGGTCGAAGTGTTCGGCTGAAAGGTCCCGTAAAGGCCGATGCCAATTGCTGTTGTAGCCGCCGCAAATAGAGCGAATGGCGGGATCCGGCCGACCTTTGGGACTGTCAAGCATGTTAGCGATGACTGACTGCATGAAGCTTGGATATGGGTCTTACCCAGAAGACCAGTCAAGATTGTCGTGAGTATTTGTGGTAGGATGTTCGGCATGAGATAAACGCCGCTGAGCATAGCGCTCTTCTCTTTGATAGCTTGAAAGTAGATCGGCAGGTAGAAAACACCACCAAACACCACGGCCATGAAAATTCCATAGTTGAGGGAGCTAATGGCGACAATGCGTCTCTTAACCACGTCTCTTAACCATGGAAGTCGGAATGAGGCCTTCATTGCCCTTATGACGGTTCCAGAATGCCCAGACAACGGCGTTGAGACCCGCGCCGCAGAAAAGCCCGATAACTTGGGACGATTTCCATGGGAACTGATTTCCCCCATATTGCAAGGCAAGAAGAAGCATAATGACTGATGGAGCAAATAAGGCGAAGCCGATGAGGTCCAGGAAACGGTGGAGGCCTTTGAGGACGCGAAGTGGCCTCTGCTTTGCCACCTGTTCAGGAATATGGATGATGACCAACGGAACAGCAACGATGGCCCCGAGGGGCAGGTTGATGTAGAAGCTCCATCGCCAAGTGTAGCCCGTCGTGAAGGCACCTCCAATAAGGGGCCCTATCACCTGGCCAAGTTGGGAAATCCCCATGCACGTCCCAATAAGAGGCGGCCGCTTCTCCAGGGGGACTGAAGCAGAGATGATCGTAAACGATCCGTTGATGATGCCAGAGGCACCTAGTCCTGCAATGGTTCGGCCGACTATGAGCATTGCCGAGGTCTGTGCCGCTCCGCAAAGTGCAGAGCCGACTTCGAAGGCAAAGAAGAAGACAAGGAATGTCCACTGCAAATCTTTCGTCAGAACTCGTAGTTGCAAGCAGAAAGCAATTCATCGGGAGTCACATACCTTGAGGTTGAAGTGATTGTACATCTTGCCAGTAAGAGGCACAAGAGCCGCACTAGGGCAGTGTAAGTCGCGAAACGCCGATCGAAGCAATCCTCAGCTTACCTGCCCAGATTATACGCACTGCCATACCAGCCAACGTCAACCAGGGATTTGAAGTCGTCGGTGATCTTGGGAATTGCCTGCCGACACCAGTATCTTAGCTATTGCGCTGCGACGAAATGGAACACTTAATCGACGAATAGTCGAATACTTACAGTACTGATGACAGAAATATCCATCACTGTCAGGAAGCAAGCCAGGGAGACCGAAATGACGATCAGACCAAGTTTGACTCCGCTGACATACTCTTGGCTATTGTCCTCAGTCTTAATCTTGGTGGTCTTCTCCAAGTCATCAGCAACACCACCGATGGATGGATGCACAGTATCGGAGCCCGTGACGGCGTTTTCACACTCAGCACCGGAGAGATGTCGGTGGCGACGCTCTGCGGAAGATTCATGAGACTGTTCGGGAGGCATTTTGATCGTGCTAGTGGGGCGTAATTGCCAAAGAACTTGATTTAATAGGAGTTTGAAGTGTATGAATAGGAAAACGAGAGTAAAAAGAATATGAAATGCTTGAATTTTAGAAGTAGACTTGCGATCGACCCGGACGAATGTACTGCAGTACATCTTGTGATGTATGGAGAGACTTTATGGTCACTCTTCCTCCCACTGGAAGATAATCTCCTTCTATGAGCCTCCATTCTGATTGCTCTTGTCTTGCGACAGCTTCCTCATTGGCAGTTTGTACGTACATGTTTTGAACCGGAGCAGGCACGCGTGCCGGGTCCGCCGGCCACACGTCAGCCACGGCTCCGGCTAGTACGTACCTCCGTATGCGATCCAATGAGAGTATCCAGACGACCCTGTATCCATGTATGCCACTCAAACGTCCGCTTAGAAGTGGGTTGTCAGACGGGAAGGATGATGTTTGAGTGCGGCGCAACCTGCGCATGTATTTGGTGCGGTTCCGCAGGGCCGGCCCAACAAATATGACCCTGTTCCGCCGCCGTCGCACCCGCCGTCCAACTGTTCCATCCGTCTGCTCTATGCCAATTCCATCTACTTGTCACTTTTTCCAACCCCAATTGACATCGCGTCGAGCCGTGTCACTTTAGTCAGTCCGGTTCACAACATGAACCGGTCCTTGGTGTCGGAATTCTCAGCCGGACGGGGCTCTAAGGCGTGTCTGATTGTGCCAAGGTCAAGTGCAAATGCATCTACCGCGAGGATGGTGCGCCCTGTGAGAGGTCAGTTTCCATCTATATTCGTCGTGCTTAGCGATGTGGGAAGCCTCGTGCATGGAATATTGTCTCTTGCGTATCTTCCGATGACCTTATCATCGCCGTATTATCCGCTGGAAAATTCAAGAAGTACTTCATAGTTGAAATTTAGCTAATCGGAGATGGCTTGCAGATGTCTCCGCCTGAAGAAGGAGTGTACACCTTCCATAATTGTGCGCCGTCACAAACCCAGGTCTCAGGCTTCAAATCGGGTGACACGCCTCGAGGAAAAGCTCGATGATCTTGTCTCGCTCCGGAGAGCCGAGAAAGGTCTGCCGCCAGCGCAATCGGACCGAGACGCCATCGATGAGGATGGCTGCGAGGAAGATGAAGATGATGACCAAGACGATGCGGAGTTATTACAAAACCCGACTCCCGATGCCGCCATCCCAACACCTGCAACGACAATTGCGAAATGGCCCTCTGCGTCTGGCTCACCAGGGGGATGGGAGATTCCTTCAACAGACGGGCTACCCCCAGCTGAGGCAGAAGAGTCGCTGAGAAAGTTCAGAGAAGAGACCATTGTAGACTTCCCACTGTCACCGTTGATACCAATGTTTGGGGTTGACTAATAACGACACGACAGCTGTTCTTCCCATTTCACTATATACCACCACACGTCTCCTCTCAGCAGCTTAAGGAGACGTATCCGTTCCTATGGCTAAACATCATGAGCGTGACATCCAGGTCTAACAAGCAACGACTGGCGCTCGGAGATACGGTCCGAGAGATGATATTTCAAAAGATAGTTATAGAACGAGAGAAGAATCTAGATCTTCTTCTCGGGTTAATAGCTACCCTGGGATGGTTCGTTGCCCGGAACCGTCGAAACCCGATGTGCCTTTCACAGTTGCTCATCGTTGCAGGTCACATTTACAGCGAAGGGACAAGTTTTACAATTCCTTGTTCTCGCAATTGATCATCCTTATGATCTATGACTTGGGGCTGAACATACCTCCCACGGAAGCTCCTCCGAAGGAATACTGCAGTCCGGGAACGCATACCCACTCCGAAGGTGGTAGACGGGAGAGAACCAACGACGAACGCAGAGCAGTGCTAGGTGCTTTCCTCATTACTTCCATGTGGGTTATCTCTCCAGCCTCCTAATTGTTTCCTGTGATGTCAGACTACTCCCAGATACCCTTTGAGCTCCGTTGATAACATATGCACAATTACAGGGCCTCGTACGCCACGAGGGGACCAGAAGGGGTGCGTTGGTCTACTGTTCTTGACGAATACGCCAGTCTTCTCACTCAAACCGACCTCGACCAGGACAAAAGCCTCGTCGCTTTGGTTCGCATGCAGTTGATCATCAATCAAATACAGAGTATGAATCTGATGGGGTCGAATCCAAATCAGGAGTTGCGCGAACTGTATACGTCCACCCTGCGCTCACAGCTTCAAGCCATCATTGGCAGCGAGAAGCTCGGCCCGGCTGCATCCACACACCGTAAGTGCACTCTACTGTTCTTAGGATGTTACTAGTGACATGCATTTTGAGTATCGTTGACATTCATGATCCATAGCCGCTGTGCTTGAGCACTACCATTTCACCGAGCTTCTCATTCTCGAGTCGTCCCTATGTTCTTCACATCAATCCACTGATTCAGATCTGAAGAGATTTGAGGTCCACCAAGAGCAACTAAATTCTGTCAGAGCATGGCTCAGCACTTTCTATACAACTGACGTCCGATTATATGGCGACATGGCGCTGTTCAGCCACTCGGAGCTGGTCCGGGTCATGGTATCCTTGCACAAGTTGAACACGCTGGATGACACTGCTTGGTAGCGCTCTGGGGTTAGGCAAACGCTTGATCTGATTCCGACCCTGGACAAACTCATTGCAGTCTTTGAGCAACTGACAGCTGCCAGTGTTCTGTGGTCTCCCACCTGCAGGACAGTGGAAGACGAAGCGTTTACGTGGGCTATCAACGTCTTTGAAGGCATGAGGAAAGCATGGAAGGATGAAATGACCGGGCTCGAGGACTTTGGCAGCGGCAACGTGGGGGTTGTATCACATAGTTTGATGGCTATGCCTACGTACAGCGCTACCGATGCGTGGTGGTCAGATGTATTCAATATCTGACGATATCTCAGCGTCAATCAGGGAACAAATGATAATTATTCGATCAAGTCTTAGCATATAATGAACAAGCGACAGGCAAAAAAGGTTGGATACAATCTGCAGATTGTGTGGGTTCGCACACGGAACAGAGGTACCGTTTGATAGCAAGAGCGGTTGATTTTGATGATCCATCGGCCGTCTGCTTTTCTTTTAGGCCTTTTATAGAAAGTATATAGGGATTCAGGTTATAATATATAATAGTGCCGGCTTTAGGCTATGTCATTCCGCACTAAGAATACTTATTGCAATTTTGTAGATTTTGTAGAAGACATTGATACTGACTCATCACTTGGTGGCCTTGGCATTGACTGAAGACGCAAGTCTATGGAGCATACGACCGACTGCGCCGCAGCTCTGCATACAGGACGTCATCCTGATTGGCTGGCAACAGAGGCAATCCACCCAACGGTGTTTTGAACTCGACCTCTGGCGGCTTGAAGCGCGTATCATAAATGATGTTGGCCGAGTGGCTTATCCCCCCACATTGTTGAAATTAGTCCCAGCCCCAGCCTGTTCGCGGCCTTGTTTTTTGCACAAAGTTCCCTTTCTCTCAGGTCCTTGCCCCCAACGTCTCACGAATTTGCCCTGGTTACCAGACCCAGTGTTGGTAGGAGACTGGCTCAACTGCTTGCAGTACTGCTCGACCTACTTTTATCAAGGCGCCATTTTCTCAATGACCTCCGCTCTTGAGCATCAGTATCGCAATTCCGGCCCCGGCAGCCAGTTTGTTGCTGCGGGGTCGCAGAACAACAATTCCGGCTCTGGAAGCCAATACAACGCCCAAACCATTATCTTTAACGATGGTAAGCATTTAGTCTGAACAGTCGACCAACTGACTATTGACCGTTTCTTCCAGCTCAAGAAATCGACGCGAATCTATTGGGCGACCTTCGCATTACCGATCCCCGTGACGACAAAGACCGCATCGAACGCACCAAGGGTGGGCTGCTGCGCGACTCATACTGTTGGGTTATTGAGAATCCAATTTTCCAACGCTGGAAGAATGATGCCAGTGGGCGATTGCTCTGGGTGAGAGGTGACCCCGGCAAGGGCAAGACCATGCTCCTATGCGGCGTTATCAATGAGCTAGAGAAGGCAGGAGCCGATCCCGTCTATTTCTTCTGCCAAGCGACCGACTGGCGGCTCAACACCGCCACCTCCGTGCTGAGAGGCCTATTGTATCTGCTTCTGGAAAAGAAGCCATCTCTGATTCAATTCATCAGAGAAAAGTACAAACAAGCAGGGAAGCAGCTTTTTGAAGACGCCAATAGCTGGACAGCCCTGAGCAAGATCATGTACGAGATCTTTGCCCAACAAGATCAAGCAACGGAAAAACTTGTTCTTGTTATCGACGCCCTAGACGAATGCACCGTAAATCTGGACGATCTTCTTGATTTGATCGTCAAACTCTCTTCAACCTCTATCAGCATTATTGTATCAAGTCGGAACTGGCCCAACATTCAAGAGGTTCTGGATACAGCTCAACATCAATACTGTGTTTGCCTAGAGCTCAATGAGAATTCTATCTCTGCAGCTGTGTTGAATTTCATCAATTACAAGGTGGATCAACTCGCGCAATTGAAGGCCTACGACGACACACTACGGAGTGAAGTACAAAGCTACTTAATCTCCAGTTCAGACGATACATTTCTCTGGGTGTCGCTTGTAACACAACGACTGGCAGACCACAAGCTTCCAAAAAGACACACCCTCAGAAGGTTAAGAGAATTTCCCTCGGGGCTCGACGAGCTGTATAACCGCATGTTGCTTCAAGTTATGGAATCCATGGACGCGGACATCTGCAAGAACGTATTGGCCGTGGCTTCAGTCGTGTTGCGCCCGGTCAGTTTGGTCGAGTTGGCCATACTAATTGACTCCGCCGATGTGTACGAGAACAACATTAACAATTTGGAGGCCATCATCGGGGAATGTGGCTCTCTTTTGGTTTTGAAAGATGGGATTGTTTACTTCGTGCACCAATCAGCAAAAGACTTTTTGATCCAGGGTTCCCGCAGCAACATAATGCCCTTAGGTATCTGCAATCAGCACACTTTGATCTTCAATAGGTCACTTGAAGCCATGTCAACCGTTCTTCGACACAACATCTACGGTATAGAGCCCTGGACCACCATTGCTGAGGTGGAGACTCCGGATGCTGATCCCCTCGCATCAATTGCGTACTCGTGCACGCACTGGGCCTACCATCTCAACGAGGGAGAATTGCCTGGGCCTAGAGAGCTTGGTCAGGTTCACGCCTTTCTGACGACGCACTTTCTGCACTGGTTAGAATCGATGAGTCTGATGAGTGCTATCAGCAAAGCTATATATTGCATTGGGAAGCTGAAAGTTGCAGTAGAGGTACTCTCTAAGAAACGGAATCTGACAGCACCTTCCAATTACTGACTGAAAATTTGCCTAGGACTCTTCGAACGTGATCTCGCACCAGCTTGGTGGGCTAGTTCAAGATGCACTTCGATTCGTTCGGTACCATTGTCCTGGCATCGAAACCAGTCCTCTCCACGTCTACTCCGCTCTTCTTTTCACTCCAGCCCAGAGCGTCATACGCAGCTTATATCAAATGAACGCACCGCAATGGTTATCAGTCAACACACGCGCTGATGACACTTGGAGCCAATGCATACAGTCAATTGAGAGTTTGGAGTCGGAAATTTGGCATGGAAATAGAGAAGTGATCTTCTTCCCTGACGGAAGGTCCTTTGCGACAACATCGAGTGTCGGTATAGACATATGGCACCTTGCTACCGGCGAATTACTGCAATTTATAGAGTGGCTATCGTCAGACATGAAATGCATGGAACAGGGCTTCTTCGAAGACCACCTATCTTCAATGGCTATCTCATGCGATGGTTCAATTCTTGCAGTAGCTTCCAGCCGCAAAATTGTGCTATGGGATATGAGATTAGGGCGGCACTTGAGGACAGTTACATCGCCTTGCGCGAAGTTCACATCGGTGCTCTTTGCAAATGACAGAGGCACATTGGCGTCAGGCTTAGAAGAGGGTTCCGTCATGTTATGGAATGCCAAAACAGGCGAATGTCTCTCAACGCTCAAGGATGACTACCACAGCAGCGATGTGAACTCTATCGTCTTCTCAAGGGATGGACACCGCCTAATTTCCGCTGTTGGACAAGCTGCCCTGGTCTGGGATACAGTTACGGGGCGGTGCTTGCAGAAAATGGAGAGTCACAGAGCGGCAGTGAAGTTGGTTGCATTTCATCCCACCAGTGCCATGGCACAGTCTGTATCCGTTGACAAAACCTTCAAGGTCTGGGATATAGCGACAGGTGTATGCCTCAGAACCATGGAAATTGAAGGCGACTTGGACTTACCAGCAACATTTTCGATGGACTTAGAAAAACTCGCAGCCCACTTGGATTCTCTCACGATCGGCTTATGGGACTTGACGACCGGCCATCTTCTGAGAAGACTGGAAGTCGGGTATGGGACCGAGTCCCTGGCATTTTCTCCTGATGATAAGACACTTATCACTGCCTCCAAACCCGAAGGGATCAAGATCTGGGATATGACAGTCGTTGTCAATGATACGTCAGGCAGGCCACATAGGAGCCCTGTTCACTCAGTGGCTTTTTCAGCTGATGGAGAGCGCGTCGTATCTATGTCTGATGATGTTTTGAAAATATGGGAGTTTAGCACGGGCCGTTCACGATTGGGGCAGGGTATCCCACCACTTCAAAGCGTCTTCGGTGACCTTCTCTGGCAAAGGAGTTCTGCTCGCATTGGTTCTCAAACATGTGGACTGCTTTGTCGAGCTCCGGGACCTGAATGAAGGAGTATTTACGCGGAGAAAATTGTTACCGGGATCTTCTCCAGTTAATGCAGTCGAGTTCTCTCCCGACAATATCACACTCGCGGTATTTAGGAATAGGACCATGGATCTCTGGAACATCAACACAGACAGTTGGCAGGCGTCATTCGAACTTAGGGGCTATGCGGGAAAGCTGAGGTTCTCGGCAACAGGATCGCATATATGATGTGGAAACACATTATGGAGAAGTAATTGAGGTGGAGGGCAAATTGGGAACAGTGCTGATCTCAGGCGGTCAATTTGATTACAACCACATGGTAGGGTACAGCTTCTTGGAAAGCGATTCGTGGGTCAGAAAGGATGGCGATATGATTCTTTGGCTTCCGTTAAAGTATCGTCCCTTTGCATACGCCTTTGCCGTTGTGGGCTCGACGATGGCTATTGGTACTCTTTCAGGCGACGTCTGGTTTCTGCGGTTTCCGTAGGAAACTACCAATTCAAACCGTTATCACTCTCCGTGTTTCACAGAAGCTACACCATCATTTCTGATAGGTCGTCATAGTCAGTCTATGCGTCGCAAACTCATACCTTGAAGCCTGCAAAGATGCAGTGTTCTCGCCGACATGGAAAAGGTGCTGCTGTATATTCTTGTAGAGCACCCATACTTGAAACATCACCGGCGTTATCTCATAACCAAAGTATCTGCTACGTCGAGCAACCCCGCAACCATCGGTGTTTCCAATACACTCACATTCTCCGCGCATGTCAACCTAAACTTGGAGCGATCGCATCTTGTTGCGACCAGGGACAACGTTGAACCCATCGTATTTGCTAAGTGAGGCACTGTTACGAACAAGTAGCTCGGAATTTGGATTGGCGCCAAGCTGAAAATAAATGGTAACGATACTTGGACCTGAAGAAGAGATCTCAATTGATCACTTGCTTGCCTTTTCTTGCCTGAGCCTGCGGCTTTCCTGCCTCTGTTACATATCAAATTCCAATGTACCCGCGTGTCGTGTCAATATCCAATTTCTGCGCTTTAGCAAATTTCATTAATGCGAATTTTCCACGTCATGTATGCAGGAATTCGAGAAGTGTCAAGACTCAATAATGATCTCTCAAGCGGGATTAGGGTCCGAGGATTAGCTGTCAGTATTCTTCTGCGGCGCAGCCGCCTTTTGTCTGATATCTCTCGGGCCCATATCCCATCAACTGCTGAATGACGCCAATACATCACGTCCCATAATTTCTCCAAATACCTTACTATTGAATTTTATAATTGGCCTAAAAACGTGTCGATCTTTCGGATCAAGAGCTCACTCGCTGCTACCCCGCACGTCTATGTACTGGCGTCATTCAGCAGTTGATGGGATAAAAGGCCGGCAGAAATGTAACCGTACTACCTGTAGCAACCACGAAAAAACGATAATCAATGACGTTTGAATACGCTAATAGGCAGGTGAGGAATATATCAACGTCTTTAGAGGTATGAGGAAGGCCTGAAAGGATGAAATGACAGGCCACGGGGATTTTAGCGGCGGTAATTTAGGTGTTGTGCTAGGCAGCTTGCCGGCCATGCCTACGCATGGGGCTACCGACGCATGATGGCTAGATCTATTCAAGGTCTAATGATGCTTGATTAGGCAACGACCAAAAATGGTACAAGGAGTCTGCAGATTGTATGAATTCTCACTATGAGACTGCGTTGCCGTTTAAGTTGGGCGTGGCATGCGGAGCCTTTGGCATCAGGAACAATCATTGCTTGGACGTCTAGTGTAAGTAGACTTAAGTATGGCAAGATCTAGCTTTCATAGTATACCACACCAACCTCGTTTGATTGAAATTGGAGCCCGTTCTAAAGGTTTAATCCTTGCTTTGAGATGCTTGTTACCGGGTACTACCCCCGACAGACGGAGCAAAGTCTCTGAAGCCGCTTGCTTTGGACTGATGTTCCAGCTGCTGTCGTCCTTCTACTAAAAGTCTTCCTGTTGACGACGAAACTATGATTCATATTTATAATGGCCTAGACATGTTCAGGTCCGCGCGTGAGTTTGAACCCGCCACTGAGGAGCTTCTGGAAAACACCGTCCGGATCATAGTCTCTCGCAATCTTTAGAAGCAGCGCCTTATTTTCCGTTCCGTAGCTGGCGAAGGGATCCTGGAATTGGCTGGCGTAGTTGGTGTATTTAAATCCGTTATATAGGCCCCTTTCCCTTGCGGCCGCATTCACGCGGTCCTCAATACTTTGCTGTGTGGCGTAGACAATCTTGTCATCGCGATCGTTTTTCCACATAGCGATGATGTTCAGAAACCCGAGAGGCCGTTCTTGTTCGGCGAAGCTGATGGGATTACCTCCATTACGCTTCGCGAACTCGAACTCAGCGCGCGTGAAGATCTGGAGCTGCAACTGCTGCGTCGCGATAGACTCGATGGCCTTGGCCTCTTCGTGCCAGATCTCGAAGGCCGTCTGCATCATTTCCGCGTCGAGTGTGAACGAGGTCGTCCAGAAGGAGTTGCGGGTCACACCGCCAGAGAACACGAGGCCGTCGGCGATCTCAGCGTGGTATGCGTTGGTCTCCGTGATATTGTTGGGTCCGGCATTGTAGAACTCGTCAAAAACTGCAGGGTGCTTGGTGTCGGTGAAGGTGTCGGCGTGTGTAAGGATAGCTGTGCCAGTTGGGGGAGCGTCCTTGTTGTAGTCCCAGAGTAGTACGCTAAAGCTCTTGGGGTCGGTTGCCACGAGTTGATCGCCCCAGTTGACGAACGCTGTGATAGAAGACGCATTGGCGGCGCCATCGTATTCCAGCTGACCGGTCCACAGCTTACCCTGCTCATAGGCGTCGAATGTGAGCTTAGTGACGATACCAAAGTTGCTTCCACCGCCGCGGAGAGCCCAGTACAGGTCGGGGTGGGAGGTGGGAGACGCCGTGACGATGCTGCCATTTGCCAATACAACTTCGTAGTCTTGGACGTTGTCACATGTCATGCCATGGAGGTTGCTCAACCAAGAAATTCCGCCTACAGACGGTCAGTGGCTGGTACAGAGACTCGGGACAATAGACATACCGCCCAGAGTGAGACCGCCGACACCAACGCCGAACATCCTCCCACCAGGGATGGTGAGGTTTTGCTCTTGCAGGATGGGATACACGTTGGACCAACGGCCACCAGGTCCGACAACAGCCGACTTTTTGTCATCACTCACGACAGTTTCGTTCATACGGGCGAGGTCAACCACCACACCGTTGTCAATGGTGGATGCTTCGAACGAATAGTGACCTCCGCTCTTGACTGCAAATTGACACTGACCATACCGAGCAATGACAACTGCTCTGGAAACTTCACTTGCGTTCTCAGGGGTAAAGAAGCAGATCGGAGAGGCAGAACCCTGGATAGTCGACCAGAAGGATGTCTGCTCCACGGCGTACGCAGTTTCGTTTCTCAGAAGAACCTGATCCGGGAACTCCTGGTGGAGGTTGCGACACTTTCACGCACCGTCAGCATACATCCCTTGTCCTTCATTTTCCCTTCGTTTTGACGTTGAGGAAAAAACAAACAAGGACGCTAGGAAACACCTACAACTCCGTCACAACCAGAGAAAGGGGTTGCCTTAGCGTAACTAAACGCAGTAGAGCCAGCCAGAATGGCAGCAGCGATTGAGCACGAGAAACCCATCGCGGTCGAGGCGGAAACCAGCGCGAGAAACAAGTGTGTTGGAAACGATGGCGATGCAGAATCATCCCCCTTTGACACAGAGGTTCATCTCAGGATCATATTATACATTATCCGCGGCGGCGAGAGAGGCATGTCAGACGTACGGAGGCCGAATGGCTCGCAAACAAACGGTCAGTTTGCCCATTCGATACCCGAACAAGAGGCGTTGTCTGCAATCATCGCTCGGGTTTCCGCGGACCAGCATGAGGGCAAGGAAGCAGGGCTAGTCAGCGGGATTTCCTGTCATGGACAGGGACAAGATACGACGTGGATACTTAGTTGGTAGTGAATATCTCCCTGAAGAATACCCAAACAGAGTTTTTGATAGTGGCGTGGACCCCCGCACCACACAAACTGGCTCGGAAGGTAATTAATCGGATAGCGGCCGCGGGCCCGACGGCTGCCGAAATAACTTGCATGCACTGTTACTGTTATGACAAGCAACTGTCGTTCATCCCAACCTTCCTGCCGTAGCCCTAACTGCTTCTAACGTCAGTACCTCAGCGTCATAATCGTAATGCGAAGCTTACGAATCACATAAGTTCATTAATAATGACTTTATTCCCGTGCTCTCACCTCAACAGGCCAAGGGACTCATGAGAACTAACCAAACGTAGGTACAACAACATGCGGGTTCTCTACCTACGCAAACCTCAAATTCCCTCGTATGCTTATCTTAAATCCTTGGCATCTGACGCCTGCCATGGGAACCTGTCCTCAATTGACCGGATGAGCTTCTCATGGTGCAGGGATTTGGGTTTGATAGAAACGTCGAATGGTGCGGGATGACTGATCACACCCGGATTGAACTCTGCTTCGGGCTCAACCACTTTACCGTCGATAATAGGGCTCTCTATGTTAAACACGGCAAGCGACTGTGCGAAGTTGAGGAATAACGAGTTCTCAGCAAGAATCTGTCCAGCGCATATGCGACGGCCATAGCCGAAAACAATCTTGCGCGGATTGTTTTCTGGCTTGGAGCCTTGGAATCGTTCTGGTCGAAACTCCATGGGATCTTGGTAGACCTCTGGATCATGGGTAAACCACCTTTAAGAGTCAGTACAAGGTCTAGTTAGGCTCCTCTCACCTCTCCAAGCTGGGAAATAGGCAAGACGTATAAGTTGGAAAGAGCATCCAGTACACACCATACGTTTGGCATCAAGTATGAATCTCTCGGGATCAAATAATTCCTAAAGACGACATCTTGATCACATGAATGTGGAAGACCCATGGGCCCAATGGGATGCCATCGCAGAATCTCTAGAACGATTGCTTCGATGTACGGCAACTTATCGCGGTCGTCAAGGTTAGGTAGGCGGTCGCTGCCAATGACGCGGTCGATCTCTTCCTGCGCCTTCTTCTGCACCTCGGGGTACTTCGCCATCGCGAGGAAGAATGTGGCTATTGATGCGACAGACTAGGCGATGTGTCAGTTTCATCAGCTCCCACATTAGTGCACACAACGAGATATGACATACCGTATCTGCTCCACCACCGAATAGGGATGCCGCAGTCCATTTGTTGTTGTGCACGTTCTCGGGGGTGTCTTCGCTGCTCGACATCGCTCGTGAGAGATACGAGTCGTTCTTCTTCCCCGAAGCCAACTGGTCTTCTACGAATTTGTATCCGGTGTCGACGGTCTCTTTCAGTTCAGCAGCCCACTTGTTGGCGATCTTCTTCCATCCAGCTCCAGGAAACCATTCAGGAACATATTGCACTGTAGGTGTTTAGCGACGTCTTGCATAAACCTACTGGGAGAAAATGAAGATAATCACTTACGAATTGGAATGATGTCGACAAGAAAGTTCCCAGGGGTAGCTGCGTAGGCAAAGTGTTCCATAGCGTCATTCATCATCCCAGTCAAGGGGTCTTTCTTGAACTGTTCGGCGTTGTAGCCGTAGACGATATTCAGAATGACAGAGCCAGCTTCCCTAGTACACGCACTCGCCGTCAGCCAATAACTAGATGCATGTCCTTTGATAGGTTTAACTAACCTTGCAATATGCTCCGTGAGTTTCTTCGGGTTGTCAAGCACATGCAAGAGGAAGTGGCCCACCTCGGCCTCTTGCAACGTATTGTACTGTGCTGCGGTTGATCGCGTCCCGAGAATCCGAGAAAACACTTTCCGATGGAGGCGAAGAGTGTCATCGTATTTCAGCTGCCCTGTGCCGTCGTTCCATCCGACCCTGGTAGCCAGTCAGACCTTGAGAAGAGAGGTGATAAGTGCTTGGAAAGCCGTGTCCTTACATTTCGCCTGCAAGGACGATGGTCGGCCGGGACGAAAACTCGGAAGAACGCTTGTCAAGCATTTCGGATGCTACCTGGGCATCATTGATGATAATCAATGTCTTACCAAGCACCTGAACGGAGCTGATCGGACCTGCGCAGCGGGTATGAGCCAAAATACTCAGCGAGTGATAGTCATGCAATGTCTTGCAGCCTTACCGTATAGATCCTTGTGCTTCAGCCAAAAGCGAGCTGCGAATTCAGTCGGCTGAGGCAAGTCGCGAATATTTCCAACGAGCGGTAGCCCCTTTGGGCCGGGGGGGAGAGGGGGACGATTGGCATTCTTCCTCGCTTGAAGAAGCTTGTCGGCGATGAAGACCGCAAGAAGGGTGACAGCGAAGCCAATGAACAGAGAAGAATCTTTCATCGTGAAGAACGGGAATCTCGTTGCATGTGACGAAAATCCCTTTGGTCGCCAGTTTCAGAGACCGGGAACCAGGGAAGGTTACTCGTATTATGTAGTAGGATCTCCCAAACCCAGCCATGACCCCGCTGCCTAAGTCATGGTCAGTGGGACCTCTATCGTACCTAGGTGACATAAGTGCCGAACTCATGAGATGAACCTCTTAGATGGCGGAAGAATGACTGCTCCACAGACGGGGTTGAGATAATCGCATAGTGTGGACAGCAGTCAGCTTACCGTCGTGCCGAGATCTGAAGTGTTAATCATGCCCCATGCGGGAAAGGGCCCGAACAAGGAAAGGGTTTCATTGAAGTTGGGTCGCGCGAATCACATCGGCAAGATATCCGCTGCGTCCGCTAGCTCCGTGTTGTCGCGAAGCGGAGTGGCTCCGGGCCATGCAGTCGGCCGTGGCGATGGCCGCACGCTGCAGCGGCCCATATCACGGGCATATGGGGCTTACGTGGGAACGCGGCATTTGGTGGAGAAGCCGAGCAGAACCCGTCTTTGAGCCTCAAATTCACAGATCAGCCTGGAGACTGCCCCAATCATCTGACGCGGTTTACCAATCGGGACGTCTGTTTTTGTCTCGGTATGTGGGATCTGGAGCTTCGTCGTCAGTCATTGCTTTTTCCCGAAGTTCTCGAGCCTGCCTGTTTCTATCCATGTCGGTCAAGGAACCCGGGCTCCACCGAGTTAAGCCAAAATACGTGTAGTTCGGTGATGTGATCCCACCCGATCATGCATGTAACCTATATGAGACAACATTGTTCAGGTTACATGCAGATGTTGCGTTCAGTTGATCCAGTAAGCCCTAGGGTCTACCGGAAGACCACTTCATACGATTTACCGTTTGTGTCAAGTCTTCCCATGCAGTGGCAGAGCTTGGACCATACAGAGGTTCAAGGCTCGGAAAGGTTCACTAATTGGTCATCGGTAACATACAGCTGATGAAACGTATTCCATCACTTCTCATGACCACCTCTGACCTCGTACAAACGTTCACACATCCAACACCGGACCCGAATCCCCGTAAACCGGATCTTTTGCAAACCACTCGAGCTTGCTGATGGCCGCAACCTTGCTCTCCTCCCCCTTCTTGCCATAGCACATGTCCCAATGACAACCGATAGGATAGCTCCCCACCATCTCGAACCGTCCGTCGATATCCTCTAGCAGCCGATGGGATACCCCAACAGGGACCACAATGACATCTCCCTTTTCCACCACCGGTTCGACACGGCCCTCATTCTCCTCTCCTCCAAAGCACAGCCTTGCCCGCCCATTGCTGATGCAAAGCAGCTCATGGGTCGTGCTGTGAAAGTGAGACGTGCTGTACATGGTATATCGCCATTGCGGCTCGACGACGCCGACTGAGGAAAGATGCGCCTCTATGGAGGACGCACTTGCAGATGGGAAGGCGGAATGGTAGATCAACAATGGCTTGTTCTGGATGCTGGTGTTTGGAAGCAAGCCATGTGCCGGGATGAAGTGCTTGGAGACGCGCAAAGACGAAAGCGGCGTCAGTGAGAGTCTAGAGCTCATTGTAGGCTTTGTGAAGAGTTTTGTAGATTGTATCGAGAGTGCTGACGCAGTTATAGCTTCGCAAGTTGGACTGGCGAAATTGAAGACGACTCCAGGATAGGTGAAGTTGAGGGAACGCAAGTGTGACGTCATATGAGCGGGTTGTGAGTGCAAATGTCATGTCTGACGACTTTCATGCCTGAACTCCCGTTCATCGCTGCAGCTCGTTCATTGAGAGATATTGTAAGATTAAATGAAACCTAGAACAGATAAAATGAGGTAACCAAAGAAGCATTGAAAACAGATGCACAAAGTGAGTTCAGGGGTCACCCGAAGTCCAGCCATGAGAACATGACGGGGAATAAGCTTACAATTCTGTTCTTCAAATCCGCGACTACCGATCCCTGTGTTGCTGCCGCTGCAGGTACCAAATGTGGCATCTGATATTACCTCTGATTTTTCCTCCCTCGAATGAACAGGCTGGTGGGCATTTACTACTCCATCTTCATTCCTAATAGAGGAAACCGTAAATCCTACTGATGCGCAACCAATCAAGACAGTCCAAGACACAGTCCAAGACCTCAGCGCCTGCAATTCACGCCGAAATAGGTATCCAACGTAAGACCACGATAGGGGGCCATGGCCCTGCATACTCCCCATCAAAGCTGACGTGTCTATTCACTTAGTACTCCAGGCCAAAGTTCTCTATTCAGTCCGTAACGCCAAAATCCGATAACCCGGCAAAATATTGTCATGCAACGTCTTTCCAAGACTCTTGGATCGAGGCCCAGTACTTCTCGGGGTGCATGCGCATGTGTCCCACGTGGTCGCTGTCCTCAAACACCACGGCCTTGTGCTCAAAACCCGCCTTCTCTCCTAAGGCGATATTCTCCTCAATCTCGGTGTACGAGATGATCCTGTCGCTCTTGCCGTAGAAGTACAACCTGCGCAAGTTCTTTGGCACATACGTGATGTCGTTGCACGCCTTCATGCTAAACACGGGAGCCGGCTCTGAGCCTGTGGCGAGCTGGTACCCACGGTGCACCGCCAAGAGAAAGCCGACAATCGTTTGCGTAACGATGTACGGCAGCGGGACAAACGGCGCAACGGCCATCGCAGCCGCGTTAGCCCAGCGCTTCAGCGTCTCCCAAGTCATGTACGGGCTCCCCGGCGTCGAGTCCCAGACAGTCAGGCGGTGAGGCATCGGCTTGTTGTATTTGTCGCGGTACGCCTTTAGGGCGGAGGCGTAGTTGATGGCGCCCGTGTTGGACATGCCGTGCGTGAGGACGGCGTCCTCGTCGGGGGTGCCGAGGACCTCGGGCGGGTAGGCGGCCTCGACGACGGGGGCCATGCTGGCGGCGCGCTGTTGCAGGCTTTCGGAGATGGCCTTGACGATGGGTGAGAGGACGGCGATCTGTTTGGCGTGCGGGTAGAGTTTGCTGTAACCCTCGATGTATTTCACGACGTGCTTCGGTACGGCGTCGCCCCAGCTGAAGATGATCACGACCCGCGGATGGCCGGAAGGGCGCGTCGTGCCCTCTGCGAGTTCCTCGCCGTCGCGGACGAAGACTTGATCGTTGATGGCCGTGAAGCCGGGGAAAGGGGCTGCTTTCGGTGCCATCGTGAGTGGCTTTCTTCACTGAAAAATTGCAGAAAATGAGCGTAATGTGACCGGCAAGCACTGTGAGTGATTAAAGATGAGGATAAGCTTCAAAGGGCAGCGCGTGTCAGCAGGGAATGACAGGATTCATATGTTGTCGATGGCCAAACAGAGACTTCCTGATGAGTGATCCGCTCCATCTCGGCGATATCTTATCAAGGGCTCCGAACCCAGTGCCAAGGGAACGGGTCTACGCGGCGGCGCCGCATTGTTGGGACACCGTGGATCCTACGGCGGACTGTTGGGACTGAATCGGAGCATTTGTAGCCTTACGAGTGTCCTAATCTGAGATGGACCGTGGGGACTTCAGTCGAGGTACGGCGCGTACAAAAGACGCGGCATCTCTTAATTCGGCAGCGTTGTCCGTGTTTGTCAAGCCCCCTTTCTCTTAGTGAGTGGCTTGGATGAGGTGAGATTTTTTGAGTGAGAGCGCCACTGAAATATGAGCTGGCCAATATCAGTAAACATCCGATTCCGGCCCACTTACCGAGGCAGAAGGACTCACCGTTAGCACAAGCGCAGGAGGATTCAGCGGACGATGGCAGAGTCAGGTGACAGCCTTAGAAGCCGAGGCACAATGGTGCGGGATGTCGGCCGAAACAGCTGCCGACCAGCCAGAAGAGGGCGGAATTGGAGATTCAGTCCGCTGAATCGTAAACGACGGCCGCGCTGTTCCAGAACGTGGTCCACTGTGGCCCCTGTGTTTTGGCGGAGGAGCTTCCCCGGATTCTAGTGACGTGGGATGCATCTTCAATTGCCATAGCTTTCTTCATCTTCATAGAGACTGTATTACTGATCCTTTGAGCTCACGACTATCCATTGTACCCGGTACTTCTATATTCCTTGATTCATTGATCGTTTATGTGGCTGTATCGAGCAGAATACCCTTCAACTCATCCTTGTGTTCTCCTCCTCGGGGTGTACCCTCGACCTTCATCCAGCCAGCTCATCTTACCTGCGACTTCAAATGGCATCCGCATCAGAACAGCTGGTTCCCTTCAACGATGCGACCCAGGTAACAAAAGTAGACTCAAACGTCTATCTTGCCAATCTTGCATCTGCCTGGTGCATAGGCTCAGGTTCGTAGTTGGATGCGCACATCTCACTCAACCCATCCCATCTGACGCAGCTCTCGCAGTACCAAACGGCGGCTACGTCGCCTCCGTCATCCTCCGCGCCGCGTCCCTCCACCTCGCCGCGCGCGGCCAGCCGGACACCATTTCGGCTCACTTCGAGTACCCAAACCGCACAGAGGTCGGGCCGGCCATCCTCATCGTCGAAGAGGTAAAACTCGGCCGCAACCTGTCAACGGTGCACATTACCCTCTACCAGCACGAGCTCCTCCCGTCCGCGCCGTGGTTCAGCGCCAAGTCGCGCAGAAATGTCCTCGCCTACCTCACCAACGCGCGCATCAGCCTCGAAAAGGGCCTCACCCTCGACAGCGGGTGGACGATGGCGCCCCCGCTGAAGCCGGTGGACTTCGCCGCGCTCGGCCTGGACAAGGACCCCCACTGGTTCCGACGGGACAAGATGACGGCCCGCGCCGTGTCGTTCGCCCGCGCGCACAACAACCTCGAGCACTACGTCCCGCGCGAGGGCGTGCGCCGCGGCATGGCGGACATGTGGCTGCGCTTCAAGGCCGGGCAGAAGTTCACGAACGCGTCGCTGGGCTACATTGCCGATGCGTATCCGACCATCGTCGAGGCATGGCGGCCGCGGCGCGGCGAGGAGCAGACACCGTTCCGGTCGGATGAGATGTTTTGGTACCCCACGCTGTCGCTGAATCTCGACGTGAAGAGGGCGCTGCCAGAAGACGGCGTCGAGTGGCTGTTTATCAGGTGTTTAGCGAAGGTCATTCAGAACGGAAGACTAGACCTGGAAGTGATCATCCTAGATCAGGACCAGAACGTGGTGGCTTTGAGTAATCACGTCAATATGGTTCTGTCGGCCGAGAGAAATCTCATGGACCGGAGTCACTCGAAGGAGAAGTTGTAGCGGCAGAAGGTGGATATTTGTAAAGCTGAAAGACGATCGTGCTATAGAGGGTCAATAGAGCTGGCGTTTTGGCGTTCCACAACACTGTCAGATCGGTTGCGCCCATTCCCACAACTGGACCAGGCCAATGACATAGATCCAGTACAATTAGACCACTTCTTGTAGAACCGTGACTTGAATAATCTTTTATACTTCAGCTCATTTTTTCCCACATGTCTCGGTGCTCTTCATGCTCTCCCCTCACTTCCCCGACTGCGGTTCAGGGCCTTCGGTTCACGATAAGTCCCACTCATGACCCGCTGTTCTCATCATCGTGCATCTATGAGCTGCAACCACACCGTCTCTGACCAACCATTGGTTTCTGTCTACAGAAATCCGATATCGGCTCAATGGTCTAGTGGTATGATTCGCCCTTCGGGTGCTTGTGCAACATCACAACCCTTCCGCACAGCGGGAATGGGCGAGGTCTCGGGTTCGATCCCCGATTGAGCCCTCGTAATCATTTTTGATTTTGCTACAATTGTGAACCTAGGCTGTTTTTGCTCATGGAACTTCTCATGTTTTACGACGATTGATACTAGCAGTCTTCTATAGTAAAAACATCTCGTTGCGAAAGGATGGGGACGTGCTTAATCGGATTCAGTTGAATTTTCCCCTTCTGTGGTGAGGTGTATTTAGATTACGCAGACCTCCAAATAATCTAGACGACGTTTTACAGTGTCCTATTAAGAGATAAACGCCTTGGGTCCTGTAGCCACGGGCGCTAAGATGCCTTGCAGCGCCAGCTCTTCTATGAAGTTGAAAAGCACAAAATCGCATCCCCTCTTTACAATCATGTTGATGGTCACGGGCATTGACACCTCCTGGTGAGTGACATTACTGTAATACGACACCTGTCCAATCGGAATCGTAAAGTCTGCGCTGCCAAAGTATGATGCCAGAATCGATCCAGCCTCCTTGGACCCGGTGGCATCCGGAAGTGCTGCGCCGGGCGAATCATTCAGATAGGCCTCTCGGAACGACGGCAAGCCGCCTGTGCCGATGTCGTAGATCAAGATAGATTCCGAACAGCTGTCTTCCGTGCTAAACAGGACCTTGCTGTGCCAAGCCTCCGAATCGTCGTGTCTTCGCTGCAGCGCTTCGGTGTGTTCTTTAGCGTCTAGTGTGCGATTCCACCAGGATGAACGGAACGGTTGATCCAACGCAGGGAACTTGGGGCTGAAATAGTCCAGGAGGGGGGTGGCCACAACCTTGAGCTGCGTGTAGGTCCAGAGAGTCCTCAAGTCAGTCAGAATGCCATCGTAGACACGCCCAGTGACGGTTTCCACTTTCTCGGTGATATTGATCTTCTCAATTGACAGGCCCATGGTCTGCGTAACTTGACCCAGGAAGCTTTGAAGGACAGCTTCCGCGGCTGGGTTCCTAAGGGGTAGACGATCCATAGGGTAGAAGATGCGTTTCGGGAAGGTGCGTGCATCTGGAACGTCGAGATCGGGAAGCTCATTGAGATCCTTATCTTGTTGAAGTGCGGGATCGTACCAAATCTTGGCGAATTGGACCCAATCTCGAGGATCTCTGGCAAACACACCCGCAGTGTCAGTTCCGTACGATATCGGCATGGCCCCAGTCAAGTCAATGATTCCTTGGGAAGGGCGGTTCCCGTACACGCCTGCAAACGCCGCCGGCTGGCGCATAGACTGGCCAGTGTCGGAGCCGATCGCAAAGTCCAGCCACTCATAAGCTGCGATCGAACAAGCGCCGCCGGCGGACGATGCGGAGCAGCTCAGGTAGCCATCCCCACGAGGGTTCTGGGGGTAGTAAACATCCGTCCACTCCCAAGCGTGGGCTGCGGAAGCAAACTGAGACGTCTTTTGCTTTCCCACGACAACGCCCCCGAGGTCGATGATGCGTTGAATGGATGGGGCTGTTGCGTTTGCTTCGCCTATCATACTCGTCCAGGCCTTACTCCCCAACGTTGTCTTCAGACCCTTGACATCGTAGATGTCCTTAACACCAACTCTCTTGCCAGCTAGTGGCCTAGAGTCGGCCTGGTTGTAGAGACGCGATGGAACAGGGACGAGTGGGTAGCCCCATACCGGATCGACAAGATTCAAGATCTTGTATTCCCCATTTGATTCGTAAACGCCATGTACGAAGTCGCTGTAGGTATCCGTGTACAGGCGAAAGACCTTGGATACTTTGATCGTTTCTCCGTCTGATTCTAGAAGCACTGGTCCTGGAGGGGGCACCGATGATGTCGAGTTGGTCGAAGCAGGCAATAACAGGATCTGCGACCCTATAGACTCAACCAAGCTGCGTGCAGTAGCATCCAGCCCTGACGAGTAGTTTGAGCTGATGATGATGGTCTCAAGAAAGTCTTGGGTAAACACGTCATCCTCGGCGAGATACCTATCGAAAGTATCCTGCAGTAACTGAGCTGTAATGAGCGGACTTGTGGCAACGACATGCGTCGCCGCAACGGTGACCGGCTTGTATTTCAGGGGCGCCTCCAACAGGGGTGATGCGGATGTCGCTAGAAAGCTGCTGTTCCCCAGCTGGAAAACGAAGTCAAGTCCATTGATCGCCTGAACGGGAATGAGCGGGCTTCGTAGAGCCAGAGCACTGGCGATGCCAGCCAGGCAAACCAATTGAAGGCCTTGGTTCAACATCAGCGATAAGTCGAATGGGTGCTCTTCGTAGTCAGGCGTGGCGCCATATTGGTACGGGTAGACAGAGCCATCTCCAGCATATAAATACATCGTAGTTGTCGGTAGTGCTTGGAACTCGGTGGTGAGCGCTGATCCTGTTGTGGGTGAATATTCCACAAGCCAAGGAATCTAGACGTCACTCGTGGCGCCTCCACTGATAAGACCTGCATGTCTCAAATCAGACGAACATGCCGTTCCCCGCTTGTCTGCTCCGACTCCGGGGCCGATGAATGGCGTTTGAGCGCCGATGCAACGGACAATCTCCACCTTTTCCCATATCCGTGCGGAACATGTATTCCGCTTCCGCCGTTCGGTATCGACTGCCCACTCTGAGCTCAAACTACGTGTAGTTCTCAAGTCGAGGATGGTATCAATCAGAGATATGGACAAGATTTCTATTTTTCATTATGTCATTACAACTATCGCTGTCGTTGCCACCCACAAGATCTATCAGTGCCAATCTACCACTGGGATGTAACATTTGGAGCGCAGACAGTAGGACTGCAGCAGACAACAAATCGAACCTCATTAGCCAACTGGATGCACTATTCAGACCATCGAACGATGTTTATCTTGGAGTTGCACTCGAGCACACAAGCTCTGCTCAGAACTCCCAGCACATCCCCTGTACCACTTGCCTGGACGCGACTGAATGTACATGATCACTTAAGCCGGAAGGGCAGTGAAAAACAACGTGGGAATGGGGAGGCAAATGTTCACTGTACAAAGAATTTGCCTGATCCAAACGGACAGACGAAGGCATGTTAGCGTTTGGAGCGGAGTACTCGTGATTCGCCAGCCTCGTGTTCTTTGGCTGAATGCTGTCTCATTTTTGAGCTGTCGTCAGCTCTCAGGTTTGACACATCACACCAGATTTCCCAATAGATCTAGGTCTCAATTTGGCAGGGCGGTTTTCGACCTATCAATACGCGACTCCAGAACGCCCCCCTCATCTACTCCTTGGAAGAGCACGCGGCGAGAACGAACTGAGGCAGTAGTATGAGGCTTAGTCAACGAGACAAAGCCGATCATACAGGTGCGTGAAACAATGTGACGCAAGGGGACATTCGGACAGACCATAATATGCTGCATGCCATCCCCGATCGGCGAGTTCTGTGTGTTCAGCTATCTTGTCCAACGCATCATGGCCGCGAATAGCCCAAGCCCAAAGGGCTCGACTGCTACTGGCGATTTATCATCTGCACCATTCCTGCAGCGCGCCCCATCATGGTCCCAGGGAACTGGTAATGATAACGATAGAGAAACGACACATCGTGATAATAACTACCATGAATCCGTCAACATCTCGAAAATCCGACGTCTAGGAGCAAATGCCGGAAGTTATGCACGTATTCCCTCCCCAGAGCTATGCGATTCATCAGTGCCTCCGGACGACACTGTCGAAGAAGAACACCCTGCGTTCCAGAAGCGCGACGACTCTCCCGCTTCTTCCGGTGGACCGCGAGGCGTAACAGCAGCTTGGAGTATTTGGGCATTTGAGATCATGACACTTCTCACTTCGGTAGCTGCATTCGCCGCGATCTTCATTCTATTGTCTGTCTATCATGAACGGCCACAACCCCACATGACACATCGTATCAATGTCAACACTATTATCGCCATTTTATCCACAATTGTCAAAGCTACGCTGGTATATGTGGTTGCAGAAGGTAGAGATACTATCCTGTGGGCAGCCAGATTTAATTGTTGAACTAACGACTGTAGTTATCGGTCAATCCAAATGGTCATGGATGGAAACACCCCAACGGTTGCGTCATGTTGAGTATTTTCACGACGCTGGCAAGGGAGCAGGGGGATCTCTCAAATTCTTGTTCGCGATTTGGAAGCCGTGGGCAATTTCTTCAACCAATCTTCAGGACATGGCGACTAATCAGACTCATAGAATAACGACTGCCCTGGGTGCACTGGTCATTGTTGCATCCTTCGCAATTGCCCCGTTCTCGCAACAAGCTGCAACGACCTATCCATGCGAAATCGACATTGAAGGAAACGCATCAATCGCCGTTGCGCAGTGGGTCGGTACAGGGGCTGACGGAAGCATGCCAATGATCAGCTCGGAGACACATGTTGCTGCTGTCACCGGTCTGATCTACGGTCCGGCCATCTCCATGGCCGCGCCCAACGTGTTCGAATGCAACTCGGGAAACTGCACCTTCAACTCAATCGGAGGGATAACACATTCCTCGGTTGGTATTTGTAGCAGCTGCGAACGAATTGAGGTTCGCCAAGAGACTACGGATTCTCGCATAGTGTACTCTTTGAGTATGGACGCGAATTCTCCGTTGTCGAAACTGAACATCACTTGGCCCTTGAATGAGACCTCAAACGTTTTTGTTATGGACTCCAATGGGCTAGCCATTTCGACGAATCCCGACAATGATGGCTTTGACTTGGAGACGCGCTTCCTTACATTCAAGAATGTCGACTGTAACGGAATCACATCTTCCGACGAGATTTCGGCACGACACTGTGGTCAGACTCCGTGGTTTACCCCGGGCGATGATACACAGGGTTTTGAAGCTTTAGGGGTCAAATGCAAACTCTACCCGTGTTTTCGAAACTATAACGGTAGTGTTCTTAACGGGAAATTGCAAGAGACACAGATTAGGGCGGTGAAAATGAAAGTTGGGCGTGTAGGAAAAAGCGACCAAAAGGATACTGTGGAGGTTTACCAAGCTCTGCTGGAGCCTTGCATGGTAGACGACAAAAAGTACTATGCCTCTAACATCAGCGAAGCAAATGTTGGGGACAACTGGATTTCTTTGACGCGAGAAGACGATCAAATCAAACTCCCACCTAACTGCTTAAGAGGTATGCATTCCTCGGCATTTTTAAGCATAACTCGAGGCCTCAGGCCCACCCTCAGCGGCGCATGCTTCCTTCGGAAGTCTGGTTCGGCCGGCACCCAAGGTATGATGTCTGGCCATGAACAAGAGCCACCACCAGCAAAGGCAAAAGAGTTCGACACATTTTGTGGAGAGAAATGGTGGTTTGGGCCATTATTCAATCAAGGAAATGTGACAAACCAAACCATATCCGAAGCCCACGATGGCATGGCCCAAGCTATCACGAACCGCATCAGGGCCAATAAGTTGGACCCGGAGGGCGCTCACGCTGCCGTTCGAGGGACACAGAAGAAGATGACCATTTGCATCCGTGCAGAATGGCCGTGGTTAGCGTACCCAGGTATACTCTTGATGGTGTCTGCCTGCCTGCTCTTGGAAACGGTTGTAAAGAGTTGTGGCGATGGGGATAATCGGCCGATGTGGAAGTCGTCAATTCTTCCGCTGTTGTTTTATGATGTCAACGTGGCTCACACACTCACAGCATCGGGAAAGCAGAAACACAGCCGCAGTAAAATGCCTTTAATGCAACTTGACGACTTGAAGTCGTTAGCCGACACAACAGTGGCACGATTCAGTGAAGATAGAGAGAGGCCTGGGTTTGTGGTTGTGAAGGAGAAGGAGACTGCAGATATAGAATTGAGCCAGCCGACGTAGACTTAAGGTTAAAACCCCGCCTGGGGGACGATTGGAATAAGCAGCATTCTCATGGCCAAGATGTTTCCAAATCAACCATGTAAAACATATGTCTTTAAGCAACGTATGCCTTTACTTACCTCACCATGGATGATCGAGTCGAGTGAGAATGCGACTCATCCCTTATGAATATTGAAATCCCACAAGTCTGGAAATATCCATGATGAGACATCAGCTCGAACTCGGCCGAGCAGGAACTCTTTGAAGGCGGTGGAGCTTGAGATTGTCACATTCCACAGTTAAAGCATCGCATATGGACAGCGATCTTATCATTCACATGAATGCGACGAGTCCTATCCTTTGTAGGTAACTGACATTGATCCATTTGACGGAATAGCATGTTGCGATCGTAATTAAAAGGAAGTTGTTGACAGCATCCCGCCTTATCAGCACCTAAGTGAGCGCCCGGCCATGCATATATGAGGATTATTCTAGAGCTATGGGGCTGACCGACTGATCATAGCGCAATGACGGAGAGGGACGATGTCGTAATCTCGAAAAGCAACCCCTCTTCCAGCCTCTGCCGGATGCATTTAAGATTTGGGGAATTGGATGGCGGACACCTTGTCCTAGCGACAGTTTCGGTGCAATCATTAGTATCTTGTCAGTCTATGATGGAAAGGCACAGCACCTTCTACCTACATCTCTATTCTTTCCTGTGGTTGAAGCCACGCTCGCATTGTAGTCACTGGAATTGGATGAAAACTCCCTGACGACTGCGCCATACTGAGTATTTCCACGAAGCCAGGAGAGTGGTCTGGGGGACCCCCAACACCAAACTTGAAATCTTGGAAACAGATCTGCTCGTAGGTTCTCAAACCCTTGACGTTAACCGCAGGGGAAATGATTAGCGAAAGCAGGGCCGCGCCAGACATGCGCGTATTGTCGTCACACTACGACACAAAGAGCCCGATTCCTGCATTCGTATTCATTTCGAACTCGGTTGAGGCGCTTCAGGCAAAAAAAGATTCGCCGAAGACCGCCGTGTCGCCGTCAGGGCGGCCCAACACAGCATGCCGAAAAGCAAAATCCACGCATGTCCACGTTTACATGGTCGATCGTTACCCAGGTTCATGCGTCGAGAGTTGTCAGATTGAGAAAATCGTTTCTCGTATTCACAGTGAAGACAAATGAACTTGAGGCTCGATGTCCATCCACATGCTGACAAGATTCTGGTCGGATGACCCTGAAAAGTGGGCGGTGAGAAGAAACAAGACATAGAATGTGCCGGACTGGGAAGTAGAGAAAAACACCGCATAGTGAGAAAAGGAGGTAGAGCTGAAATAAGTAAGCCGAGGCTGAATGATGTTGGTACCGACGATGGTTGCATTGCAACGGACATACGCCAGTGACATTTGACACCTGGATACCGAAAGGAATTTGACCAAGCGACAATAGCCATCGCGGCCTCGCTGTATTCCTTCCCTGAGGGAATTATGTGCCTTTTGCATGTCGGTGGGAGGGAGCCTGTGAGTATGACGACATGAGTAAAAGTCGTGCACTAGCTAGCAGACTTATTCCCCAGACAGTTCATACTTAGTAGTATACCACCATCACCATGGAGGTAGGAGAGGCTGGAGACAAATAAATGGGGCAGTGTGCGCATTTCTGCATTTTCCCGCTGTTGGTCAGCCCTTTTTCAGCCCTTTTCCTGGCCAGCAGTGAGCAAGCGGGCGTGCCAAGTCCTCTCCTCACCCCGGAGCCGAAAGTGGTATGACGCGTCAAAACGCGCTTTGCATCCCAGCCGGCAGCGGCTGAGAACAGTTGCAGGGTCGTGAGCGTTGCCCAAGGTGGACAGCTGATCGGTGTCTGTGAGGGATTTTCAACTCTTGCTGGAAGAAGAGGCCTCCTGCTCGTCTGCCGCTGTCGTTGTGTCGCATCGTGTGTTGTCATCGGGTCATCCACAGCCAACCCAAGAAAACTGTAAGTCATAGTTTGGTCCATCTTTGCCGTCTATGACATTTGGTTAGGCGTGCCAAGGACCATCCACCCCGAAGCGTTGCTTTTCCCTCGCCCCCGTGATCAACTTCATTTCCATAATTTCCTCCTCTGCTCGCTCAGACTTGAACATTCATTTCAAAATCTCGAAGCCCAACCACAAGTGTGCCCTATTAAGCTCCTGTTCTCTTTCCCGTAAAGCCCATAATTAGTCTTGTTGTCCTCCCTTCCCATACGTTTATCAATCCTGTACTATCACACTCACGCCCACGTGAATCCTTAAAGCCCACCACAAAGTCGGCTTCCTGCGCGCCCTCACACAATGACGGTTCGAAAGGCAACCCAGGCCGACCTCCCGGCGGTTCAAGTCATCATAACAAAGGCCTTGCCGGCAGAGTACCAATGGAAATACTGCTTCCCTGCCCGCTCCTCTGTCAAGCACGATTCTGGCATGTACGTCCAGCGCGCCCTGGAACAGACTCTGGCGCCTGGTAACACCGACTGGCTCGTCTACGTGACGGAGGACCCTGGAAGGCGCAAGCCCGTAGGTGTTGCCATCTGGAGCTGGACCGATGCCAGAATACAAGAGACTGTTCACGATAATGCTGCCTCCCAAGGATTGACAGGTAGGCGCGTCCATAACGTCCCAAGTCATCGCCCGGTTGAACGCCTTCATTTCCTGAGCCATTCCAGGAAGTGTTGCCGTCGTGGACAGAGACTTGGTCTGAGAAAAAAGCTGCGCTAATTTTCGTATCTCGACTATAGTGGCGGGGGAGGCCCTCGGGGGAGCTGGAAGTATCGTTGTAGACGGAGGGTCGACTGAGACCAACACCGGCAACGCGGAAAATCCCCGTATTGTTGCGCTCAGCAACGCTGTTGCCGCCTGCCGAGATCGCCAGCTCGCCCGCTACGGCCAGCAGCTGCACCTCCATGTCATTGCCATTCACCCGGAGTACCAGCGCCTGGGCCATGCGAAGCTTCTTTGCCAGCACGGAATGCACTTGGCCAAAGGAAAGGGCTTCGCGGTATCTGCAATTACGAGCCCATCCGGTTACATTTTCTTCTCTGGTCTGGGCTTCGCCGACTGTGGTCATGTCGTTGTGCAGGTTCCCGGCGAGAAGGAGGAGATTGGTCTCAAGGCCATGGTTCTTGCTGCGCCGCAGCAGGAGAAGCGGAGAGGGTCTTTTCTTGATATGATTGGTCTGGGTGGACGGAGGCGTTCGAGTGACGTTAGGACATCGAACTCCTAGTTGAGGCAACTTGGACGTACTGTTCTTAGGTGTTTTAGGTCTACTGAATTGAAGCTTCCATAAAACTATTGGTCTTGTCTTTACTTAGCGATTCCATCAGTAATCATGGCTTCGTAGTTGTGAAGGCTACTGCTAACTCTGCAGGCAGCTGAGGCAACAACGATTTAGATCAGTGACATGTATGCTTGCTTTGTTTTAGGAATATTGAAAGTCGCGAAAAGACCTACAGCATTTGACGCAGGGCGCATGTCATTTTTTCTAAAGACTGATAATAGCCCTTCACGAAACACTCCGCAGCGTACTCTATCTAACCGCTGCTGAATGTCTCCAACGGGCAATATTCTATCATAGCGCGACGGTAGTGCTCTGAAGCGCTACCAGCATCTTGGTAATCTTATTTAACCCCTCTTCGACTCACTACGGGCATTAATATACTGACAAGCACAAAAAGCAGGTTATTGAAGGGAAGCATCTATTTGGGGCCGTCACAGTCAAAACAATAATCATGAACCACGATTATAGTCAGGATGCTTCTGATACTACTCCTGGCGAACTCGGAAAGCTACAATAACATGCTATTAGTATGAAATATTAACCTAATTTTGTAGCAATCATTGATGTGAACCAGCAATTAGACCTTGGGGCCGGCTTGATGCGTCACACTGTTATAGTCAGCTATCTGATAGTAGGGTCTGCTAATAGAAGCTGGGGATTAATATATTCTAATAGTATACTGGGTTGTAGTCTGGGTTAAAAGTTATAAGCTGTAGTAGATTAGGTCTTTAGAAGCTAAGGTAATTAGTTTTAGGCTTAATAAGTAATTTATAGTAAAAGTAAGCTAAAAGTATCCTAAGGATAAATACTAAGTTAATTACTAAAGAGCTATAGAAGTCTAACTATAAATTAAGCTTAAAGTTATACTATATATAAGTTTTAAATAGTTTTTTTATCTAGCTACTAATTCCTAACTTAATATTAATAAACGTTTAATAATTACTAATAAGTATTTAGTAATTTTTACTAAGCGCTTAGTAATTTATATTATCTACTTAGTTTTATTTTATTATTATATAACTTATACTATAGTTCTTCTATTTTAATTGAGATCTTATTACTCCTATGATCCTATAATATAAATATCTTATTATAGCTACCTAATACTTAAGTAGGTTATTTAGCTGTTATCCTTATTTATAGGTTATAATATTAGGTCCTCTCTCTAAAGGTTTTATCCTTAAGACCTAATATAAGTAGGTTATTAGTCTTAGGTTAGGGATCTATTAATTATGCTTCTTAATCTACTTATAGTGCTAATATTATATTAGGTTATATTATTAAAAATCCTATAATTTTTACACTTTATTGCTATTATTATTCTCTTAATATTACTAAGAATAGTTTTAAAATTATGCCTTATTATTACTATTATTTAAAGGGGCTTTACTATAAAATGCTACTAAGGTTGCTAGTTTATAAGGAGTATATCGCTATTAGTAGTATTTATTATTCCTATAATATTTCTAATAATATAATCTGTTAGTATAAAGTAGTGCCTATTCTAGGTTTTTTTTTCTTTTCTAGCTGATTAGTTATAGTGGAGTGGTTAATAGTAGAGTTTTATTATTTAGATAATGAAGAGGAGGAAACTAAGGAGCTATTTTAAAAGAGAATAGAGATACTATAAAAGGTATAGGCTAAAGTGAATAAAGTACTTATAAAGTTAGATTATGTTTATAAGGCGAAGAGAATAATTTTTAAGAAAGGTTATAATAT